CCGGGATGGAGTTCTGGGAATGTCGCACGTGGCCTACAGTTGGCTCCGGGCATCCAAAATGTGGCCCGGGAATGGAGTTCTGGGAACTCGAAGAGCACGAAGTGTGTGACTGTTGCATCCGGCCCCCCAGAATGTGGCCCGGGAATGGCGTTCTGGGATGTCGAAGAGCACTTTGTGTGTGACTGTTGCATCCGGCCCCCCAGAATGTGGCCTGGGAATGGAGTTCTGGGAAGGCGAAGAGCACGAAGTGTGTGACTGTTGGTGAAAAACGAGCCCGGCTCATGCCGCCCGGAAACGCCCCAACACCTGCCCGGACCCCCCTGTGGAGTGATCTGTGAGCTCTTTTGAGTCAACTAGAAACCTATCAGTCTTCGCTGTTAGGTAAAAAAGGGACCTCGTTCCTTGGTTCCTTAGGTCAACGCCCCGACTGTAGGCCCAAGACGGCTCCACGACACGCCAGGAGGCATCCCAAGACGGCCCCAGCGGACCCCGATGCCTGCCCCACGAGGCCCAAATAGTAGGTCTCCCTCGTGTGTTTGAGCGATTTCCAGGTTCTCCCCATTTCGCCCCAAGAACCGCTCCAGACGGCCCCCAGCGCCTCCTACATCGCGCTAGAGATGCCCAAGAGACTCCCAAGAGGGGCCTTCGACGGCCCAAAAGGGCCCCAAGATGGTTCCAGGGCGCCCGAAGACGGTCCCAGAGAGCCCCAAGTTTCCTCCAAGAAGGCCCCAAGAGAGTCCCCATAGAGCCCTCCGGAGCCCCAAAGACGCCCATTCTACAATAAGTTTCCCGGGCTGTCCCCCAGAAGGGGCTTTGGGGACAGCCCGGGAATGGCCCAACAAGCGCCCCCAATACCACAAGAGGCCCTCAAGACGCCCCAGACAGGCTCGCAGGAGGATCCGACATGCCCCCGACACGGCCCCAGAGACACCCAAAATATCCCAAGAGTGGCCCCTGAGGCCCCAGATGGGCCCCCAGGAGGCCCCGAATGTCGGGGAGGCGATGCAGGACCATGTACAGAGCATGCGCCCTAGCAGGAACGGCATGGGAGAGTGCTGGTGCCCTGTCACGGTGGAGGACTGGGGCTCCGCTCGCAGCCCGACGGGACGCGGCTCAGGGACGGCCCCCATTCCCCCCAGCGGACCAGCGCTCCCATGGCGGCCTCCTCGCCTCACTGCAGAACGCACGCACGCAGCCGGAGGCGGGCCTCCAGAGCGGACAGGTCGTCATGGGAGCGCCGGTCACACGGGGAGCCGGTTGGGGCCGCACCCGAGGCAGAGGGAGCGCATCCTTTTCGCCTCCTGGAGCGCTCGCTCCCTTCTCCCCCCTCCTCCTCCTCCTCCGCCTACTCCTCCTCCGCCGCCTCCGCCTCCTCCTCCTCCTTCTCCTCCTTCTCCTCCTCCGCCTCCTCCGCCTCCGCCTCTTCCTCCTCCGCCTCCTCCTCCTCCTCCTCCGCCTGCGCCTCCGCCTCCTCCTCCTCCTCCTCCTCCTCCTCCTCCTCCTCCTCGTCCTCCTCGTGCCGTTCCTCATATCCGCTGCCTTCCCCCGTCTCGCGCCGCCTGAGAACGAGGGTTGTGGCCCTTTTCACCGAGCAGAGGGGCCGTCAGAGTGCGCAGATGTGCGTCGCGTCGACGCGGCGGCGACCTCAGCACTCGCATCCAGGGCTCAACGCCGACGCTGGTCCAGAATCGGCCGACTTTGAGTGATCTCGCGATCTCGAAGCTGCCGATCGTGCAGGGTTTATCGTTTCATTGTCACGGGGTGTCAAGAGCAGCAGCACAGGCCGTCACGACAGGAACCCACCGTATTCTCTCCTCCACGGGGTCGCTGGCGCGTCGCGTCCAGGCGCTGCTCGTTGTTCCTCCCCCCCCTGTCCTTTCCAGGAGCTCCACGAGCAGTTCGGCTCCGAAGCCCTGCTCTGTGGATTGATTATACGGCTTGCGAGTCCCAGGTTCAGCACACCGTGGATTTAGTCCACGGGTTCACAGTAGTCAGCTACGTCGCTGGGATCAGCGCGTGCGAGAAAGGCGGGCAGTGGCAGCAAGCACTGTCACTGCTCAGCGAGATGAGGGAGGCGACGTTGGTGCCCGACGTCATCAGCTACAGCGCTGGGATCAACGCGTGCGAGAAAGGCGGGCAGTGGCAGCAAGCACTGTCACTGCTCAGCGAGATGAGGGAGGTGACGTTGGTGCCCGACGTCGTCAGCTACGGCGCTGGGATCAACGCGTGCGAGAAAGGCGGGCAGTGGCAGCAGGCAGCGTGGTTGCTTGGCGAGTCTTTTAATGCGGCTTTGGGGACGTAGCTAATTATCAACAGTTGCAGCAGGCAGTGTATGCGAGC